AGTATAAATCTGATGTATTCAGTTTGTTCAAGACTTGGAAGACCATGGTTGAGACAGAAACATTCTTAAAGCTGAAATGTCTGAGGTCTGATAATGGTGATGAGTACATTGATGGTTGGTTCAAGGAATACCGTGCAGCTCAGGGAATCAAAATAGAGAAGAATACTCCGGGGACACCACAACAAAATGGTGTTGCAGAGCGCATGAACAGGACCATTGATGAGCGGGATAGATGAATGAGATTGCACGTCAGACTACCACCTACTTTCTGGGCAGGAGCAGTCAGTACTGCAGTTTATTTGATCAACAAGGGTCATTTGTTCCATTAAACTGTGAATTACCTGAAGAAATCTAGAGTGTGAAAGAGGTAAAATTCTCACTTTAAAACTTTTGGTTGTCATTCTTATATTCTCATTAATTCTGATGCGCGTAATAAACTTAAGGCTAAGTCAAGGAACTGTTATTTCATTGACTATGGAGATGAGACATTTGCATATCATTTATGGGATGATCAGGGTCGGAAGATTATAAGAATCAAAAACGTGATTTTCAATGAGAATGTTACGTGAACAAGTCCAGTACAGTTTCTGAAACAGTGCTGAAGGATCTGAGTTAGTAAAATTTGATGATTTACCAGAGGTCACAGTGCAGGACAGAGATGCAGGTGATGAAGAGAGTGGATCCGGGGCATCCACTCCTATTGTTCCACAGTCAGTTTCAGAGCAGTCTATCCCTACAGTTGTAGTTCGCAAGTCAGAAAGGGCTAGACGTTCTTCATAACGTTATTCTCCAGCTTTGAACTACATTCTGCTGACAGATGGTGGAGAACCTCAGAGTTATGAAGAAACCTTACAAGGTGAAAATTCGAGCAAGTGGGAGCTTGTCATGAAGGAGAAAATGGATTCTCTGCTAGAAAATCAGACTTGGAAGTTAGTAGATATTTCATCTGGGAAGAAGACATTACACAACAAGTGAGTGTACCGGGTGAAGACTGAGCATGATAACAGTAAGAGTTACAAGGCTAGACTTGTTGTAAAAGGTTTTCAGCAGAAGCACGGTATTGATTATTCCGAGATTTTCTCCCCTGTGGTAAAGCTTACAACCATCAGAATGGTCCTGTCTATGATAGCTACTGAAGATCTCTTCCTTTAGCAGTTAGATGTGATAGCTACTGAAGATCTCTTCTTTTAGCAGTTAGATGTGAAGACAGCTTTTCTCCATGGGGATCTTGAAGAAAACATATACATGCACCAACCTGAAGAGTTCGTGGTACAGGGAAAGGAAGAATCAGTTTGCAGATTGAAGAGCTTGTATGGCCTGAAGCAAGCTCCTAGACAGTGGTACAAGAAATTTGATAATTTCATGCACAATGCATGGTACAGCAGATGTCAGACAGATCATTGTTGCTATGTCAGTTATTTTGACAGTTCTTATATCATCCTACTGTTGTATGTAGATGATATGTTTATTACAGGTGCTAGTATTAAGGAGATCAATAATCTGAAGGAGCAGATGTCATAGCACTTTGCAATGAAGGATTTGAGAGCTGCAAAACAAATCCTTAATATGAGAATTGTCAGAGATAGAGTCAGAGGCATGTTGAGACTCTCTCAGGCTGAGTATGTAAAAAATGTACTTAGCAAGTTTAACATGAATAAGGCCAAACCAGTTGACACACCATTGGGAAGTCACTTTAAACTCAGCAAGAATCAGTCACCCAAGTCAGAGGAGGAACTAGATCACATGAGTAAAGTTCCTTATCCTTCAGCTATTGGTTCACTTATGTATGTTATGGTTTGCACCATACCTGATAATGCCCATGCAGTGGGAGTTGTTAGCATATATATAAATAATCCTGGAAAGGAACATTGGGAAGCAGTGAAGTGGATCTTGAGGTACCTAAGAGGCTCTGCAGAAATTTGTTTGTGTTTCCAGGAAAGAGTTCAAAGGTACGGGGCTATGTTGATGCTGATCTAGTTGGAGACAATGATACCAGAAGTACTACAGATTATATTTATACTATTGGTGACACTGCAGTATCATGGGGCTCTAATCTGTAGAAGACAGTTTCATTGTCTCCTACAGAAGCTGAGTACATAGCAATGTCAGAGGCTGCAAAATAGATGATATGACTACATTATATAGCTACATGGCTTCTTGAAAGAATTGGGCAAAAAGGATCAGAAGGGCATACTCCACAGTAATAGTCAGAGTGTCATATTCCTTGTCAGAAATCCAGCATTTCAGTCCAGATCCAGGACTAAGCACATAAGGACTGAGCACATTCAAATCAGGTATCACTTCATTCGGTCATTGTTGGATGACAGACATTGTTGCTTAAAAAAATTTGTGGAAGCTAGAACCCTGCTGATATGTTGACAAAAGATGTTACTATGGAGAAACTGAAGTTGTGTGTAGCTTCAGTTTGTCTTCTAGCTTGAAGACAAAAGTCTTGAGTTGCAGAGGTGGAGGATAGCACAATTGAGGAAAAAGGCTACGCCGCCAGCGGAGGATATCAGTGTGAGGAAGAAGACATTGTAATCTGTGTACCGGTCTCCAAGTTGGAGATTTATTGAGGTGGAGCCCGGTTTACAAAAAAAAAAATTTGCTTGCAGCCTCTTTCAACTGTTCCCGCCTCCCATTCTTGGAAGAGGCACAATTCTTTATTTTGGTGGGTCCCGCCAACCAATTAATGCTGCAGCTTGCAGCAATTACTCTCCAAAAATAAAAAAGCAAAAAAGTGGTTTTCCTTATATTTTTCTGGCTCTCCCTCGTTTTTCTTCTACGTTGGTTTACGGGTGAAGAAAGCATCACACGGTTACTACTTGTGTTCTTCTTGGGCGTTGACTCGCGACAAGAGAAGAAGTATCAAAGGCAGCACTTCCTAGTCCTTCGGTTGTTACTCTCTCGAGTAGAGAGGAGAGGTGAGAGAGAGGGAGAAAGAAAGAGAGTTAGTAGAGAGGAGAGGTGAGAGAGGGAGAAAGAAAGAGAGTTTCTTGTAATCCTCGAGGAAGAAACAACGGTGAAGGAATATATCGACTTTGTAATTCCTTGAAGTTGAGATAAGTATTTCTTGTAAATTGAAACATTGCGGTGTAAACTTCTTAAGTAATAAAATCCTCTGCAACTCCGTAGACGAAGGTAATTTGCTGAACCACGTAAATCTGTGTGTTCTTTTTGTGTGAATTTTTCTTGTGTTATTTTCACTTCGTCGTAGATCATTTTAAATTTTCATATATACCACAACAATGCTAAGAGACAATGTAATAACCAGTTGTCTATGTGTGGAGCCTAATTGAGATTGGAGAATCCAGCACCCAAGGAGGCACCCCTGTCCCTAGCAGAGGGGTAACCATAGCGCCCAAGGGAACGCTCCAGACTAGTGCTAGATACTTCTCAGAACAGAGCGATTGGAAGTCATACACCCTGATTGGGCATAGATGAGTCGCGGCATGTTCATTTCCAGGTTCAGAAACAGACATTGGAAACACACGCTCACGATGTGTGATCCAGTGATCATAAGAATGACTGACAGAGCATTTGGAAAGAAAGTGTCATGGTGCGGCGCCCCAACGCCAAGGGGATTTCTCTTCTGATAGGGATTTAACTTCTCGACTTCTATACAATGAAGGTGATTTCGACATTGCGTGTAACAAGAGCGGAACCGAGCAAGCAGTACAACGAGATTTATGTTGGATTTCTACGGCTTCTCTTGTGCAATCAAGAGAGGAGTGTTTGAGAGTTTCAGGATTGTAGAGAGGAACAGTGAGAGTGGAGTAATCTATGCATTTCTCCTTATTTCATTGTGAATTTTTTGGTGCGATGTGGCTCTGCAAATTTTTTCTATTCTCAGTTTTTTCACATTAAATCTTGTGTTTTTTTGGATTTTTTGTGTTGTACGTTTGTGTTCAAATTTTTTGTTTTGAATCTCTCAAAAAGTGTAAGGTAGACCACCGTTGCTTTAAAATTTATGGTAATTGTTATATCTTCTTTTATATATAGATGACATGCTTATTGCACGTGGAGATATGAAGAAAAGCAAGGAATTGAATGAGCAATTATCAAGAAAATTTGAGACGAAGGATTTAGGTTCGTTCAACCAAGAAAATCCTCGGGATGAAAATCAGTATGGATAAGAGTGCAAGTACAATGAAGTTATCTTAGACAAAGTACGTTGAGAAGGTCCTACACAGGTTCAACATGAGACAAAATTAGTGTGCACTTATGTAGTCACTTCAAACTATCAGAGGAATTATCTCCTAAGTCTGAAGCAGAGCAAAGAAAGATGGGAAGAACCCCCTAAGGTTCAACTGTTGAAAGTTTGATATATGTGATATGTACAATATCAGATATTTCATATGCAGTAAGAGTGGTCAGCAAGTATATAGGTAATCCAGACAAACATCATTAGGAGATGATGAAATGGATTCTTATATACTTGAGGGGAACAATCAATAAAACACTTTATTTTGGAAGAGCAAAGATTGATCTGTAGGGATATGATTGATATATCTGTCAGGAGATATAGATGGTAAAAGAAGTACAACATAATATATCTTCACTTTGGGGACACAAAACTGAGTTGGGTTTCCATACTGTAAAAAAATGGCATGGATATGATCGTGTCAATTTTATGAATTAACATGCATGCAAAAATGCCACAAGTACTCTTCAAAGTATATTAGTGTAAAACAACTATTCTTTTGTTAAGGTCTCCTCATAGAAATATACTTAAATATCAATCAAATTGTTTGTTTATGGTTTTCCAACAAACTTCCTGTAAATTACAGTAAGATAGCAAGCATAAGCATAAACACGCTCAGTAGATAGCATGAAACCACATGGCTTGTTAAACTCGAAAAATAAAACTAGTTATTGAGATTGGCATGAAATATCAATTATAAAAACTCTTTACTTATGCAACTCTAACAAATTTATTGAGTGATAGAAAACTTAAAAGGAGCTTTCCTAGAGTTTAACTTCTCAATATTTCTACTAACCATGTAAGCAGGCCAACCCTGCTGCACAGGCATTGTCCCAGGGAAAGATGGAAGGAAAACAGACATATATGCGGCAAGGTTTTGTGAGTGGTGACTTGAAACTCCAGCTAGAGGCAGGTTGGATGTTAATGCTGCAGAAGCCATTGTAGATCCATAAGTTGGAAAGCCAGTTAGAGGAAGAACGGGCCCAAAAGTAGCAGGCTGTGGATGATTGAACTTGCATACAATTCCATATTTACAAGTTCCTGTTCTCATGAAGTATGGACATGATTTCTGATCCTGGAAGAATTTGACAAGAATTAGCAAAAAAATGCTCCATCATGCACTTAGTATATAACAATTTATCAACAAGTATAAAAGCCTTCTGATGAGGCCTTACATAGGAAGTGCTTGAAAGAGTTTAGCAGTGCAAAAACTTGGGGAAAATAAAAAACTAATGGAAAGCAGTTACCTGACGAATTGGAAGACCCAAAGCATTTAATGGCACATGTTGTGCATCACGTCTATCTCGTGGATGATGATATTTGCATGTTGCACCAAATTTACACATCCCGTTTTTTAAAAAATACTGCAACAGTGCTAAAAGTATATCAAATGTTATGCATTTCTTCCTTCATATATTTTGTTAAATCAAATAATCATATTTGTCACAACAAGACCAAAATGAAAGAGTCTGATTCACAAAATGCAAAGACTGCTCTTTCTAGTTAAGCATAGGTCACAGAATCAGGAAAAAAATAGGCCTAACTGCAGATTATATAGGAGAATCATGTCAACAATGATGAACAAGGATTTTAAATCATGCTGATGGCAAGCATTTTAATTTATAATTAAGCTGAGCATATTCGACCAAAACCTACAACATAGATACCATGCACAAAAATACAATCACTACAATCGTTAGTAAACAAATTAGATAACAAAAGCTCCCAAGCGAATTGTCCTTATTGTAACCCAAAACCTGCAAATTCACCAATTTGGATGATTTCTGTAGCTCTAACTAAATTTGACTTTTCTCCAACCCTACATAGTAAGTATGAAGGTGGTAATGATACCTTTTTGGTAATTAAGAGGATAGGACAATAGAGCGAGTAAAAGAAGATCAGAGAAAGAATTTTAAAGAAGAATGGAGTCTG